CCACTAAGATACATTCTATGGATTCACCTATTATGGACATTTCATATAAATGGAATAATACTATATGGCCTTTTCTGTCTGACTTCCTCCACTTAGCATAAAGTTTTTAAGGCTGATCCATGTTAGAGGATGAATAAGTACTTCATTATTATTATTTTAAGTAGACACCACACCCAGTGTGGAGCCCAGGGCAGGGCTTGAACCAATGACCCTGAGATCAAGACCTAAACTGAAATCAAGAGTTGGACGTTCAACCAACAGAGCCACGCAGGTACCCCTTACTTGATTCTTTTTTTTTTTTCTTTCTAAATTTCAGTGTATGGATATACCACATTTTATTTACCCACTTTTTGGCTATTATAAATAACGTTGCTATGAACATTTGTGTGCAAGTGTTTGTGAAGCCATATTTATTTTTTGTTTGAATCAGGACCAAGGTAAAGTCTACACAATGCTATTGGTGGATAAATCTTTTAAGTCTCTGTTATAGGTTCTTCCTTCCACAACTTTATATATTTTTTCAGTTCGTTAAGATATTTGAGTCCTGGGGGCACCTGGGTGGCTCAGTGGGTTAAGCCTCTGCCTTCAGCTCAGGTCATGATCTCAGGGTCCTGGGATCGAGCCCCACATCGGGCTTTCTGCTTAGCAGGGAGCCTGCTTCCTCCTCTCTCTCTCTGCCTGCTTCTCTGCCTACTTGTGATCTCTGTCAAATAAATAAATAAAATATTAAAAAAAAAAAAAAGATATTTGAGTCCTGTGTCCTGCAGTTTCCCAAAATCTGGATTTTGTTGATTGCATCCTCTTGGCACAATTTAACATGATCTTTTAACATCTGTGCTTTCATAAACCAGTACTTGGGTATAGAAACTATATCAGATTCAGTCTTGATGGAGAAGGGCAAGGTGACTATAGGTAGGCTGTTACCCTACCAACCTAATTGTCTTTTTTTTTTTTTTTAATAGCAGCCATTGGTCATCATTGCCCAGGTCCATTTTGCCATAAGAAGTAATGATAGTCTCATGCTGTCATTTCTTCCTTATGTATTGCTGGAATATAATATAAAGAAAAAATTTGCCCTCAATTCTTTTATTACTGCATGATTTAGTTTGTATATAAAAAGAAGGATAAAATGCTTCAATTTTTCCCTTTGTTTTATCCTCTAATAATGATCAACTATTTGTGGGTTATGAAAATGAATTGGTGGATTAAACATATTTAATATATTCCACTGGAGTGCGGTTTTTTGGTTGTTCTTGTTTTGTTTTGTTTTCTTTTACATAAGCGTTTTTTTTTAATAAGTTGCCACATTTTGGCAGGAACTCATGAATAGAGTCTTTGACATTCATCACATTAGATGATTAATGATATTTCTTTTGCTATAAAGTCATTTAGGGTTTAATAATTCAAATATGCGTACACTTTTTCCAAATAAAGTTAAGGCAAAATGTTTGAAAATTTTCATGCTAATGTTTTAATTTCTGAAGAAGATAAAGAGGTTAAATATTTAGTAGACCATTTAGCAGGAAAAAAACAGACATATAGTGGTGTCCTGTAGGAGTTTCAGTAGATTAAGGGTAAAATAGGTCCCTTTATGTACCATTAAACAGCTGGCATCCTCACAGAGAGAAATTACATTTTTTTAAGATTTTGAGAGAGAGGGCGCCTGTGTTGCTCAGTTATTAAGCGTCTGCCTTTGGCTCAGGTCATGATCCCAGGGTGCTGGGATGGAGCCCTGCTTTGGGCTCCCTGCTCAGCGGGAAGCCTGCTTCTCCCTTTCCCACTCCCCCGGCTTGTGTTCCTTCTCTCACTGTGTCTCTCTCGGTCAAGTAAATAAACTCTTAAAAAAAGGATTCTGAGAGAGAGAGTAGGGGGAGGGACAGAAGGAGAGGGAGAAGCAGACTCCCTACTGAGTGGTGAGCCCCAGGCAGGACTTGACCCCAGAACCCTGGGATCATGACCCGAGCCAAAGCAGACGCTTAGCTGGTGAGCCACGCAGGCGTCCCGAGGAAATGTTTTCAACACATTTATATGACACAGTATATGGTTGGTGTGGGAAAAATATCTGCTTTCAAATACATTTATTGATGTTTGAATTTTACTGCCCCCCCCCCCAAATAATGCTGCTAGTACAATGATAAAAGGCCGAGAAAATTAACCACAGTATGTGAAGGGCCATGTGTTATGTATATGTGTTATGTTTCAGAAGCTTTAATTTTTCAAAAATTTCTTAACGTGTTTATCGTCCTCTTATTGGAGTTATTCTAACTGTTGCTCACTTTTCCTCTCTTTGGCCAGTGGTTGGTTTTTTGTTTGTTTGTTTGTTTTTTTAAGAAATTCTATGGCCCCCATCTCTCCCTACAAGCCAGACAAGGGACTGATCCCAGGAGCTGTGTCACGCAGTAGCTTGCTCCCCACATCTTCCCTTAGGCATCCGCCCTTCCGGCCAGTGGGATGAGGCCTGCCCTCAGCCATCCAGCCACGTTCCTATGGCTGGCATTGAGGAGGTTTTGCGTGGTGACTGCTGGCAGACCCCAAATGCCCCTGCTGTCCTGGTGGGCCCTCAGGCCTTTCCAGCTATCTTGAATCCTAGGTGTTTCCCATCCTATAGTGCCCTGGTCAGGCCTGGCCAGTGGTTCCTGTTGGCTGCTTGGTTCCCAAGTCTTTTGGCATGACTGCAACATTCTCTGATCGCTAACTCGCTAGTTGGTATAAGGGATTTCTAGCCTCCTTTGTACATTTCTTGCCGCATATCTAGAATCCACCTTTTCTCCAAGAATCTGTGGTTCCATTTAGTAGGAAATATTACCTCAAAACTTCAGTCCAGAGGCGAATCAGTTGCTCACTGACTGGTAAGTTATTTGCAGGCCTATTCAGCAGGTTTTGTTTAAGATGCATTGTGAGTGCAGGCAAGTACTTGCGCTGCAAACTCAGGCCACAAGGATTTGACTTACCCCCTATTGTACCTAGGTATTTCCTTCTCCCATGCAGAGGATCCCAGTTGTAGAGATTCTAGTAATAACAAGTTAGATTATTACTCATTTACTTTAATACATGGTACATACCCAACAGTCTCAGGATACTAACACGACCACTGATAATGTGGCTAACGACGGGTAACGATTTTTGTTTATTTTTAATGTAGGCTCCACAGCCAGCATGGAGCCTCACCTGGACCTTGAACTCATGTCAAGACCTGAGTGGAGATCAAGGGTCAGATGCTTAACCAACTGAACCACCCAGGTACCCCAGAGATTTTTTTCCTTAGGGTTTATACCACTAGGGATGCATAAGTTACTGCTTTAAGAGTTACTTTTTGTGTGGTTATGCCACCCACTGGATACTAATTTAGATTCATTAGCTTCATCCTCAAGTTTTTAAATTTAATTTTGTTTTATAATTATGTAACGTATTTACCTAGTTCCAAAGTCAAATTTACCAAACTAGATGTATCAAAATGACTTAATTTTTGTCCCTTGTTGTGTTCCTTTCTTTTCTCTCTAGTTAACTGTTTAAAAACGTTTGTAATTTATTGTTCTGCTTTAAACACACAAGCAAATACACATAAAATAGGATATATTTTACCACACACACACACACTCTCTCTCCATTTTGCTTTTTAATCTGGAGCTATGGATTTGATACTATTTAACCAATCCTCTTCTGATAGAAATTTGAGTTGTTCCTGGTCTTTTTGCTATTACAAATAATGTTGTAAGGGATAACAGCCTTGTGCATATTTACATTTAAAAAACATTTTCTGCCAGTTTGTTTTTGGGAGCGAGCACTAGATGCGGGATTGCTAGTCGAAAGAATTAGTAATTTTACCAGTATTGTCAAATTCCCAACCACTGCAGTGGTAATTTGCAGGACCATTAGCAATGTATGAGTGTGAGTGTTTTTCCAACAACAGTATGTCAAACTTTCGGATTTTTGCCAGTTTAATATATGAGAAATAGTTATCTCATTGTTGGTTTTATCTTTTTGTTTCACTTAACATGAATGAGGTGCGCATGTTTCCATATCGTTAGCCATTTCTTTCCCTGTTCATTGTTTATCTCACAGGATCAACTTCTAATAGAGCCCTTGGTCTTTAAAATTTTTTTTTAGTTATTTTTTAAAAGATTTTATTTATTTATTTTAAAGATTTTGTTTATTTATTTGTTTATTTGTTTAAAGATTTTATTTATTTGGGTGGCTGTCAGTCCAGAGAGACCACAAGTAGGCAGAGAGGCAGGCAGAGAGGAGGAAGCAGGCTCCCAGTTGAGCAGAGAGCCCAATGCAGGGCTCGATCCCAGGACGCTGGGATCATGACCTGGGCCGACGACAGAGGCTTTAACTCACTGAGTCACCCAGGCACCCTAGTTCTTATTGTTTTTAAGATTTTATTTATTTGTCAGAGACCACAAGCAGGAGGAGCAGGAGAGGCAGAGGGAGAGGCAGACTTTCCTCTGAGCAAGGAGCCTGATGTGGGACTCAATCCCAGGACCCTGGGGTCATGCCCTGAGCCAAAGGCAAATGCTTAACCGACTGTGCCACCCAGGTGTCCCAAATTTTTTAACTTTTTAAAAAAATATATTTTAGACCATGCATGAGTAGGGGAGGGGCAGAGGGAGAGAATCTTAAAGCAGACTCCCTGCTGAGTGTGAGCCCCATGAGATCACAAACTGAACCTAGACCAAGAGTTGGACACCCAACCAACTGAGCCACCCAGGCATCCCAGTCTTTTTATTTCTAAAAGCTCATTAAAGAGGGGCACCTGGGTGACTCAGTTGGTTAAACATCTGCCTTTGGCACAGGTATTGATCCCAGGGTCCTAGGATTGAGGCCCACATCAGGCTCCCTGCTCATCAGGGAGCTCGCTTCTCCCTCTTCCTCTGCCTGCCCATTAACCCCACTCATGCATGCATGCACGCTCTCTCTCAAAATCTTTAAAATACATAAATAAAAGCTCTCTAAAGGTATTAGAAATACTGACAACTTGAAGTATTCTTATATACCAGCAGGTGTCACAATATGACCTAGAGGAACTCATCCATGTTCTGGTAAGTCTGCGAATGTTCCTATATATAAAAATGTAAAGGGAAAAAAATTGTTTAGGCACCATTTTTTAAAAAGACTGTCTTTCCCTGTTGAATTATCCTGGCACTTTGGTCAAAAAATTGACCATAGGGGCACCTGGGTGGCTGTCAGTTAAGCATCTGCACTTTGGCTCAGGTCATGATTTCAGGGTCCTAGGATTGGGCCTCCCCTGTTTGTGTTCTTTCACTCTCTAATAAATACTATCTTTAAAAAAAAAAATGGACCATAAACACATGAAAATATATTTCTGGGTTCTGTTATATTCTGTGTCCTCATGCCGGTACCACACTGTCTTCATTATAGTAAAATTTTGAATTTTTTTTAAGATTTTATTTTTAATCTCTTCACCCAATGTGGGGCTCAAACCTACAATTTTGAGATCAGTATTCACATTCCCTATCTGAGCTGAGCCAGCCAGGCACACCTGAAATTTTCTGTGTAGGTGTTCAAACTTTGTTCTTTTTGTAAAAATGGTTTTGGCTATTGTAGTTCCCTTGCTATTCTGGAAGAATTTTAAAATCAAAAATTAAAAAAGTGTACTGGCATTTTGATAGGGATTACATTGAATCTGTAGATCAGTTCAAAGAGAATTGCCATCTTAATAATATTGATTCTTTCAGTCCGTGAACATGCTCTATTTCTTTAGCTCTTCGTCAAGCTCAGCAATGTTGTGTAGTTATCAATGTCTTACACATCTTCTGTTAAATTTGTTCTTAATTTTGTTATGTCATCGTTAATGAATTTTTATGGTTGATAATACATAAATACAGCTGATTTTTGTTTTTATGTATTGATCTTGCATCCTTACTTAAGGATACTTGCCGTTACTCTAGTTGCTATTGTTCTCAGTTCTAAGCTGTTTGCCTTTTCCATTTCTTACCTTGTTGCCTTGGCTAGTACAATTCCACATAGAAGTTATAAAAGCATCCTTGTCTAGTTCCTGATCTTAGGGGGGAAAGTTTTCAGTCTTTCACCATTAAGTGTATTAGCTCTGGGTTTTTCATAGATGTTCTTTATCAGATTGAGCAAATATCCTTCTCTAATTTGCTGAGTTCTTATCATACATGGATATTGGATTTTGTCAAATTTTTATGTCTCCTGAGATGATCATATGATTCTTCTCCTTTATTTTGCTAATAAGGTTATGTTATGTGATTTTCAGATGTTAAATCAACCTTTCATTCCTGGGATAAAATCTACTTGGTCAAATCCTTTATGTTGGTAAGTTTTTTCTTCTTTCTTTTTCTTTTTCAATGCCAGCTCATTTGATGTTAATTTGTTAAATCCTTTCTCCATAGTGTCAGAAATACTCTACTACCAATTACTACAATTCCAAAATAGTGGCCTGAATTCAAATTCGCTTTGTGCCTAATGCACTCTTTTGTATAGATTTTATTTTGTGTCTACCATGTGCCAGTCACCTAAAGAAGATTACTTGACATGTAAATTGAATTTAGGCAGGGGTTACCATAGTATTTTATCATCCAAACAGGAAAATTTTTAATTTTTTTTAAGATGTTATTTATTTGACAGAGAGAGAGAGAGAGAGAGATCACAACTAGGCAGAGGCAGGCAGAGAGAGAGGAGGCAGAAGGCTCCCTATTAAGCAGAGAGCCTGATACGGGGCTCAATCCCAGGACCCTGGGATCATGACCTGAGCCAAAGGCAGAGGCTTAACCCACTGAGCCACCCAGGTGCCCCCAAACAGGAAAATTTTTTAAAAGTCAAGGGGGAAACAAGTATAAATTAGAATATATGGTTACCTTAGATCTAACCAAAGGGGAAGAGTGAGGCAAATAAAAACATTTGTGAAAGAGGACTCGGTCTATTAAAATAACTAAAAATCTCCATTTAGTGAGTTTGTAAACTGTAAGGAAGAAATGGAGGCCAGAAGAGTATGGAGAAATCATATTCTAAAGGCCCTGTAAATCAGAAAGGATCTTGGACTTCATTCCAAGGACAAGAAAAGTTCCAAGCAAAAATATGACATAATTGTTGGAAAAAGATTATGTTGATTGCAATGTAGTGAAAGTGTGAGCAAAAAAAGAGTACCAGCAGAGATCATTTGGGGGGGGAAATGGAGAGTTCAGTATGGGTTTTTGCGATCATGAGATGTTCTTTGATTGTGTGACTGCATGACTATGACTGTGTATATAAAGACCACTGAATTATTGTTTGGCATGTGAATTAGAGCTCAGTGAAGCAGGTTGGTTTTTTTTTTAAAGGAGATTTAGGAAATTAAGTTCTCCAGGTGAGATGATAGGGCCTCTGTATTAATGTGTTAGAAATGAGGAGAGGTTCAAGAGATGTTTTAAGGGAAACTGTAAGGCCTTGTGACTCACAGGATACGGAGGTGAGAGGGAGGGAAAAGCCAAATTAACTTCCAAGATTCTGCTTAAGCTGCAGGATGGATGACAGTGCTGTTTACTAAGGGAACCTCAACCATACACATGAGAGATGGGAGTGGGGAAAGATCTTAAGACATGCTGAATTTGAGCTAACATTGAGACATTTAAGTTGGATTATTTATTCTGGAGTATGTCCCCTCCCCCCATTCCCCAAATTCATTTGCTGAAACTCTAAATCTCAACCTGATGGTATTGGAAAGTAATTAGGTCATGGGAAGTAATTAGGTCATGAGGATGGAGCCCTCATGATCTCATTAGTATCCTTATCTTTTTCTGCCATGTGAGGATACAAGCAGTTGGCAGCCTGTATGGCCCAGAAGAGGGTCCCACCAGACCCGGGCCATGCTGGCACCCTGATCTCAGACTTCCAGTTTCCGGAATTGTGAGAAACAAATTCCTGTTCTTTATAAGTCACCTAGTCAATGGCACTTTGTTTTAGCAACCAAGCTATTCCAAATGTGGCTCTAAGGTGAAGATCTAGGCCAGAGAAAATCAACTTAAGTCATTGAAGTAAACAGCATTGTTTAAGATACATGAATATAAGATCAAGATTTAAGAGCTGCTTAGAGGTGAAATCCGCATCTGAGCAAAGGCCCCAGAGGTAAGGGAAAAAACCAGAGGGGTGTAACGTCACAAATCAAGTTTAGAGTCTTTCAAATGAAGTATTCAGCAGTTTAAAGTAGTAGTATGTGTCAACAAACAAAGTGGAATCTGAACTTACAAAGTTTCAGTGACGTGATAATGGCAGAAACCAATCTCACATACGTTCACTGGTAAATGGTGAGATGCCGTGTCAAAAGACAGTAACGGCAAGGAATTAGTTTTTTTTTTTTTAAGATTTTATTCATTTATTTGAAACAGAGAGAGAAAGATCACAAGTATGCAGAGAGGCAGGCATAGAGAGAGAGAGGAGAAAGCAGGCTCCCCACTGAGCAGAGAGCCCGATGCGGGCCTCGATCCCAGGACCCTGAGATCATGACCTGAGCCGAAGGCAGAGGCTTTAACCCACTGAGCCACCCAGGCGCCCCAAGGAATTAGTTTTTGAGGGGGAAAAGAAAGAAGAGGGTTGAGGATGAAAAGATGTTTAAAAAAAAAAGTTTGGTCCTGTTTAAAAAAAAAAGTTTGGTCCTATCTAAAGAAAGGAAAGGACCCATTTAGAGAAGTTGAAGATAGTGAAGGAACGCAATGGCTATGTAAGACTCAGGGAGGATTACTTCAAGTTCAAGGTTTGGGTAGAGTCTGGGAGTATTTCAGTTCCTGTCAGGATGCTGGTGCACAAGCCAGTTTGGGAGCCACAGAGCAGACTCTGTAAGGAGCTTGGAAAGGGTGTTGTCTCTAGTACAGACCTGGATTCTTTTCTTTTCTTTTGGAGTCTGAGGAAGAACTTGTAGTGGGGGCAGGTACAGACAGATTAGGTGATGCAGTTCAGGAGGTTTTCCATTTTTTCCTGTGAACTAATCTGCTTGTAGAGTTGGGGGAAGGTGAAGATTTTGTTAAGACTGGAGGTTTCACATTGCCTTGAATGATGGGTGTCTTGCTCCTGTTGAGGACCTTTGAGGATGGGGACCACCAATTCTGTAGTGGCGCCAGCCTGTGCCCCCATGTGGTTTTCTGTGGCCATGCTCAGCAGCCCAACACAGAGGCAGACTGAGCGGAACTCAGCTGAGATTCGGGTTTGGCCACACAGTTATAAAATAATGACAGTAAAACAAAGGAGTCTAGGATCTTGCCAAGAAAGGGGCAGAAGTAGTAAGAGGACGGATCTAAGCTGGATGGAGAGATAAGTGAAGAAAGAAGATGACTTTTAGTGGAACTCCTAATGAGAATTAAAAAATTGGTATATTTTGGGTTTGACTATTTCAAACATAAGGCCTTTATAGGACCAGCTTTTGTTCATTTTTATTACCAACAATGCTACACTGTAGGGGGGTGGAGCTGTATGTAAGAAAATTCCTACTCTCAGAAACATGGATCATTTTATAGCAGAGAGTGCTAATCTCTCTGCTATATCAACAATCAACACATCACGGTGAAAGGCACTAAAGACGTGTGAGAAGGGACGCTCTTCAGCACAGGGTAAAAGGTGGATTATCAGGGAAACATTCATATAAAAACTCCCCCAAGTAGGTCTTAAATACAGAAAGACAGCTACAAGCAGAATAGGGACGAAAAGACTATTGTGAGTAGACCAGTAGCACAGGCAAAGGCAGCAGAGTATAGGAAAAGCCTGATTAGGAGTTAAGGTTTATGGAAAAATAATGTAAGATAAGGCTGTGAAAATAATTTAAACTCAAATTAGAGAGGCTTAAATGTGCTCATGAATTGGGGACTTTATTCACTAGGCAGTGAGAGGCAGTTTGTGAACATGACTGAGATGTGCTGTAGGAAGACTGGCCATCCAGAAGGAAATCCTTATTGCAATCCTTATTTAAGGCCTCACTCAACGGCTCTCAATGAGACTGCACAAAAGAATCATCTTGAGTGAGTGCTTTGAAAGATACCTGATGGGTCTACCCACCAGAAATTGTGGTCCCTTTCAGTTCGGGGGAGGCTCAGGCATTTAAAAGTACTCCAGAGGATCCTAATCTGACCAGGGTTGAAAGGCATGGTCTCTTCTGTGTAGTTTATGTTGATACAGTAAGGCTCAAATCAGACAGTAATAAAGGAAAGCAGGATAGATGGATGGATGGGTATGTTAAATTCTGGGCGGGGGGGGGGGGGGAACCACCTGTAACAAGCTAAACTGACCCAGCAAAATTAAAACTAAAAGCACACCATTATACCATTCCCATCACAAAAGAAAAACAGATATTGAATATATACAATTTATTTAATAAATTAATGTCATTCAAAATACAGTGCCAGAACATGATGCAGTTGAACATGCTAGTAAGGTTTGTCATGAAGCACCTGTGCTCATGTTAGATTGGCGGCGCCCCGCTACTGCTAGTGGTTCCTGGATTAATGCCAGAGCAGCACTAGTTACCTGCTCATCTGCACGGCTAGTGCAGAGAATTCCTGAACAGTTCACCTTTCTACTCCTACCCCCCCACACACGCACACGACAGGTTAAAAAAAAACCACACGCACACCCTGACAGCTAATGGGTAACTATACACAGTCACTCTACAGTAATGCTTGTTATTAAATTAGGATGTAATGACCTGGTTAACCCACTCTAAATCTTTAAGATGGAGAAATACAACAGCAGCAGGTAGTTATATGCATGAGCCAATGTTAATGTAATAAAGTGGAGGCATTTACTGATTAAAGCTCCACACAGACCCGCACGACGAGGGACTAGCAATTCTTATTGCAAGCCCAGCAACTTAAGTCCACACCTGGTAAATGACCAGCTAATTGGAAGACCTGTATTCTAGATAGACAAGTATAAGTTAGTGAAGAGAGAATACATGCACCTAATAGTATAGTTAGACTGATCCTGCAGTCATAGCTTTCCCTGTGCAATACCATAAAATGGAAGATCTTCCTCAACTATAGTATAGGATTTTGACATTTCTATACCAACATGGACACTAGTGTCAAGTGCAGCTGAATTAATTACACCGAAAAAAAAAAAGTATTCTAGGACTTCAGAACAGAAGCACGGGAATGAAATACATATACTAAAATAACCTCGGCACAATTTGTGATATACCACACTAGGAACAGGAAACTACTTTAATAAGTGAACTTTCTGAACTGTACATAACACAGGGCTAACAATGTTATTAGATAATCCAGATTCTTATGCTCTCATGATACACGTAGAAGTTTCTCAATTATTGGATAATCTATTTCATATTACGGAAGCATATCTTTCTGTAAGACTCACAGATATATATTATACTGATGCAAATATTAAGTAGGGCATAAAAATAAAATTTATCAAAGATAGACTTTTATGTACTCATATTTAGTCCTTTCATAGCCTCTCCTGTTTAGCAAAGAAAATGACAAAGCACAGACATCAGGCGTGCACTCCCTCAACTCGCTGGCTATACAGGTGGTAGTGCAACCATTTCTCCATCCAGTTCAAACTCCTCGGTCCCATCTGGTGAAAAAAGGTAAGTTGGTGGTTTCCATGGAGATTCTTCAAGGCAGGATGGATACAGTTTCCCCACAGTGCACCGAAAATCTCTCCCTAAGTCCCACAGTACACGTTCAGATATATGCTGCCGCAGAGACCACCTGTCAAGTTCCAGATCATACTGGTAGGTGACATACTTAGCTCTCTCGTTTAAGTGGGTTTCTCGCATAAACACACAGAGAGAATTTGAGATCACAACAGCTCTAACACAGGGGTCTGAGTACCTCTTAGCAGGGATGTTGGCTGCCATTTTCCACTCATTTTTGTTCACATCGTAAATCTCCACAGTTACTGAAGACCCATCTACAGTGCCAGAGGGGAGCCTTATGCCAGAATTGGTAGCAATGTGCAACCCTCCAATATAGAAAATTTTATCACCAAAAGCCGCAGCCGAAGCAAAAGACCTACTAGTCTGTCTCATGGCCATTTCTACCCATGAATCAGACCTGGGAAAGTAACAGTACATGAGGTTCAGTGTCATCACATAAATGCAGTCGTGAACCACAACTGCTGCACTCCACTGCCACGCACAAGGCAGAGGGCTTACCATCGTCCACTCATCCTTCTCAGTATCGTATCTTTCCACGGTCCTCCGATTGAGTTCTCCACCTACACTGTCTCCTCCAATTGCATAGATATAGCCTTCACAGCAAACCAGAGATGGCTTTATACGGACAAAAAGCATCGGGGTCTTTGGAAACCAGGTATTTTGCTGTGCATCAAACCAATAAAAGCAATTCACAGTTCTGAAGGCAGTTTGAAGTTTGCTTGTTTTACTGTGATTTGTTTTTGTGTTTTTCAGAGGAACTTGACCCCCTGCTATATAGATGTCATTATCAGGAGTTACAACAGTCCCAACCTTATGCAAATCGGCTGGTGGGCTACACAGCTTGTAAACTTTTTCTGCTTGGGGGCTGTAACAGACAGAAGAGTAAAGACTACAAGGATTTTCTGAAGATGCTTCAATGAAAATCATCATCTCCTCTTTAGTCATTCCAAGTCTTGGTTTGAAAAACTTCGGCATAGACTTATACAGACCTTGAACCACTACAGACTTGTCATTGGGCGGCAGGCCTTGAAACCAAGCTCTCTGTGTTACTTCGGAAAGTGCATCAATTCTGATTTGGCTAAGAACTGAAGACAAATACTGGGATCGTGATTCTGTGTTGTACTCTAGCCACAGCATAGCAGCTTCGCGAACAGTCTCCTCCTTTTCAACATTTAAATTGTCACTACTGAGGATGTCTATCAGTAGGTCATGTGACAGCTGCATGAATGCTTCCTGGTGATACACAGCAGTGAACTTGTGCTCTACCATTCTTTTAGCACTTTGTTTTAATTCCTCACAACTGAACAGATCAGCAAAACTCAACAATCGCACGCAATTCTCTGCATTTATTTTCTTAATTAAGTATTCTCGACAACGCTGTAATACATCTTCTACCTAAAATGGGGGGGTGATAAAGACAAATTTTACTTTTATGTAAAATGCAAGTTTTTTTTTTTTAAATCCAAGTATTATTAATCAAATTCCTATACTATAGTTTCTATTTTTAGATATGTATGCTTGGGCAAAGAGATAATGCCTTCCAGTAATAATAAAATAGTTTTGCATTTCTACTACTTGTCCAGTGGCCTACTTAAGTATCCTAT